TGCACTCCAGTCTGGGTGACGGAGTGAGACTCCAACTCAAAAAAAAAAAAAAAATTTGTTCGGACGGGCACCGTGGCTCATGCCTGTCATTCCAGCACTTCACAAGGCCAAAGTGAGAGAATCACCTGAGCCCAGGAAGTCGAGGCTTTGGTGAGCCATGATTGTGCCACGGCCCTCCAGCCTGGGCGACAGAGTGAGACTCCGACTCAGAAAAGACAAAACAAAAAGACTTCTCCAAGAACGGTGGCAACTCACATCCTTTCTCATTCCCCCTTGACACGCCCCATTCCCACCCTCTCCACCCGCCCCCCAGGGTCCTCAAGCACTCGGTGGATGCCACCTTTGAGAACCAGGGCCCCAGCCCCGGGTACCGCATGGAGATGTCCATTTTCTACGTCGTCTACTTCGTGGTGTTCCCCTTCTTCTTCGTCAACATCTTTGTGGCCTTGATCATTATCACCTTCCAGGAGCAGGGGGACAAGATGATGGAGGAGTACAGCCTGGAGAAGAACGAGGTGCCACATCCTGTCACATGTGTCACTGAAAAGCAGACCCACAGGCTGGGCACAGGGGGCCTTGGGAGGCAGAGGTGGGAGGATGGCTTGAGGCCAGGAGTCTGAGACCAGCCTAGAAAACATAGCAAGACCTCCTCTCTATAAAAAAAAAAAAACAAATGAGCCAGGCTCGGTCACTCAGCCTGTAATCCCACGCCTTTGGGAGGCTGAGGTGAGGGGGTGGCCTGAGCCCGCGGGTTCAAGACCCGCCCGGGCAACTTGGCAAGACCTCATCTCTACAATAAATCAAAAAATTAGCCAGGCGTGGTAGCGCGTGCCTGTAATTCTGGCAACTTGGAAGGCTGAGGCGGAAGGATCGCCGGAGCCCAGCAGGTTGAGGCTGCGGTGGCCGGGAGTGTGCCACTGCACTCCAGTCTGGGTGACAGAGTGAGACTGCAACTCAAAAAATTTAAAAAAAAAAAATTTTTTTTAATTGGCTGGGTCTGGTGGCGTGCACCTGTATCCCCAGCTACTTCAAAGGCTGAGGCGGAAGATCACTTAAGCCCAGGAGATCAAGGCTACAGTGAGCCGTGAGCGTGCCACTACACCCCAGCCAGGGTGACACAGGGAGGCTCCGGCTCAGAAATAAGTAAATGAAAACAGGCACCCAAGAGCCAGCTTCTAAGGACCTCTGAGGAGGAGATAGCAGCGTTCTCCGGACAGAGTCCAGTCCACAGGGCAGCCAGCCCTTCCTGGAGTTTCCTAGGAAAACACGTCAGACAGTGCATGTGTCCGTCAGTCTAGACTAAGTGTTGCTACGGCAACAAGTGACCCTATGTCTCATGCCAGATACCCACGCAGGAGCTTATTTCTTGCTCGCACTACATGTCCACACCCACCAGGGCTGTCCTCCGTGTCATCTTTATTCTACCTCACAGGCCATAGAGCCGCCTCCCTCTGAGACGCATTAGAGCCTAAGGAGAATACGGCAGGCTGGGCATGGTGGCTCACGTCTTAATCCCTGCACTCTGGGAGACCTAAGTGGGAGGACAGCTTGAGCCCAGGAGTTCAAGAGCAGCCTGGACAACATAGCGAGCCCTCGTCCCTACAAAAAAAAAATGAGCCGGGTGTGGTGGCGCGTGCCTGGGGTCCCAGCTACCTGGGAGGTTGAGGTGGGAGGATCACCTGAGCCGAGCCTGATCTGTGATGGCGCCACACCGCCCTCCAACCTGGGCAGCAGAGTGAGACCCCGACTCAAAAAAAAAAAAAAGAAACAGTTCGGTGGAGGGTGCCCCGGTCCAGCCGCTGTCCTCCGCAGGCAGCCTCACATGCCAGCTTCTCTCCCCAGAGGGCGTGCATCGACTTTGCCATCAGCGCCAAGCCGCTGACGCGACACATGCCCCAGAACAAGCAGAGCTTCCAGTACCGGATGTGGCAGTTTGTGGTGTCTCCGCCCTTCGAGTACACCATTATGGCCATGATCGCCCTCAACACCGTCGTGCTGATGATGAAGGTGAGCCTCGCCCGCCCCCTCCTGCCCCCGCTCTGCTCCCCTGGGACCCTCCGCAGCCTCCCAGACAGACTACACTCCGGGCCACCTCTGAGCCTCGCTCCTGCTGTTCCCTCCGCCTGCCACTCGGTTCCCGCCACTCTGCCTGGCCGGCTCCTTCCTCCCAGCTGTACCTGCAGAACCTTCCTCCAGAAGCCCTCCCTGACCTCCCCATGTACAACCGTGTCGTCCCCGCCACCAGCCTGGGAGCGTGAGGGCCTGACTCGGGGGCGCAGGAGCCCTTGGGGAATGATGGATGGGTAAAGTGAGGGAGGAGGGGCCGGGAAGACGAGTCAGGCACCCTTCCACCTTGTGGGGTGGGGGCCACAGCCTGGATCGAGCCCGGCGCTGCCATTCAGCTCAGCGTCTAGCCTGGCCCAAGGAACCGGTCGCTTCCCGGAGCCTCAGGTTCCCTGGCAATAAAACGAGAGAGATCTTAATGGCACCTTCCCTGGGCCATGGGGGACATGATGAGAATTGAGCCAGAAAGTTACTATGATGACCTCGGCACCCCTCAACACTTCAGAGCCGGGTGTGGTGGCATTTGTAATCCCAGCCACTGGGGAGGCTGAGGGGGAAGAATCGCTTGGGGGCTTGGGGCCAGGAACTCGAGATCAGCCAGGACAACACAGTGAGACCCCATCTCTGCAGATTTAAAAATTAGCCAGATGTGGTGATGTGTGCCTCCCAGCTACTCCGGAGGACAAGGCTGGAGGATTGCCTGAGCCCAGGAGTTCAAGACCAGCCTGGGCAACATAGCAAGACCCTGTCTCTACTTTTTTACAAGTAAAAAATAGAAAAAAGCAGACCAGGCACCGTGGCTCACACCTGTAATCCCATCACTTTGGGAGGCAAAGACGAGAGGATTGCCTGAGACCAGCCTGGGCAACTTGGCGAGACCTCGTCTCTACAACAAATCAAAAAATTAACCAGGTGTGGTGGTGTGTGCCTATAGTCCCAGCTATTTGGAAGACTGAGGCAGAAGGATCACCTGAGCACAACAGGTCAAGGCTGCAGTGGCTGTGAGCATGCCACTGCACTCCAACCTGGGTGGCAAAGAATCCGGCTCAAAAACAAAAAAATGGAAACAAGGACTGGGTGCAGTGGCTCATGCCTATAATTCCAGCACTTCAGGAGGCCGAGGTGAGAGGATTGTCCGAGCCCAGGGGATCGAGACCAGCCTGGGCAGCTTGGCGAGACATCATCTCTTTAATAAATCAAAAAATTAGCCAGGCATGGTGGTGTGTGCCTGTAGTTCCAGCTACTTGGAAGACTGAGGCAGAAGGATCACCTGAGCCCAGCAGGTCAAGGCTACAGTGACCCATGAGCATGCCATTCCAGCCTGGGCAACAGTGAGACTCCAACTCAAAAAAAAAAAAAAATAGAAACAAGTAAAGTGTATAATTCAGTGACAGTATATGCACTCCAGACTGGATGACAGAGTGAGACTCTGACTCAAAAAAAAAAAAATGTGGTAACCCCTTTGGGACCCCTCCCACTGTGGGAGCTTTTCTGTCCTTTCAATAAATCCTAGCCGGGCTCGGTGGCTCAACCTGTAATCCCGTGCCTTTGGGAGGCTGAGGTGAATGAATTGCCTGAGCCCGCGGGTTCGAGACCCGCCTGGGCAGCGAGACTTCATCTTTACAATAAATCAAAAAATCAGCCGGGCATGGTAGTGCATGCCTGTAATTCCAGCTACTCGGAAGGCTGAGGCGGAAGGATCGCCGGAGCCCAGCAGGCGAGGCTGTGGTGGCCGGGAGCGGCCACTGCCCTTCAGTCTGGGCAACAGAGTGAGACTCCAACTCAAAAAAATAAATAAATAAATAAATAATAATATTAAATCCTGCTTTCTTACTTAAAAAAAAAAATTTAAGCCGGGCACAGTGGCTCAGCCTGTAATCCCGCGCTTTGGGAGGCTGACGTGAGTGGATTTGCCTGAGCCCGCGGGTTCGAGACCCACCTGGGCAACTTGGCAAGACCTCATCTCTACAATAAATCAAAAAATTAGCCGGGTGTGGTAGCGCGTGCCTGTAGTTCCAGCTACTTGGAACGCTGACGCGGATGATCCCCAGACCCCAGCAGTTGAGGCTGTGGTGGCCGGGACGGCCACTGCACTCCAGTCTGGGCGACAGAGTGAGACTCCAACTCAAAAAAAGAAAACAATAAAAAACAATAATAATAAAAATATTGTCAGTGATAGACACCACAAATTTTTTGGTGTGTATTGCCAGGTGTGGTAGTGCATGCCTGTAGTTCCAACCACTCGGGAGGCTGAGGCAGAAGGATTGAGAGTTCAAGCCCAGTCTGGACAATATAGCAAGACCCTATCTGTCTGGACAATATAGCAAGACCCTATCTCCAAAACACATACACACACACGAGTTGTCTTTTTTGTTTGTTTTTTGAGTTGCAGTCTCACTCCGTTGCCCAGACTGGGGTGTAGTAGCATGCTCACGGCCACCCCAGTGTCACCCTGCTGGGCTCCAGCGACCCTTACGCCTCAGCCTTCCAAGTAGCCGGAACTATAGGCACGCACTACCACGTACAACTGATTTTTGATTTTTGATTTATTGTAGAGACCTGGTCTCTCCAAGTTGCCCAGGCTGGTCTCGATCCGGCGGGCTCAGGCAATCTACTCGCCTCAGCCTCCCAAAGTGCTGGGATGACAGGCTGAGCCACCGAGCCCTGGTTTTGAATATGCAAAGGCGAGCCAGCCCCGTGAAGAACTGGGCTTCCTACCGCTGTCCTTCCCACATACAAGGTTGCTCAGCCCTTGCCTGGGTCCCAGGTCACCACGTGTCTGAGTCCTGCCTCCCCGGTCCCCGCCCCTGCCCGCTGACCCCTGCTGCCCCTCCTCCTCCCTCCTCTAGTTCTATGGGGCCTCGGTTGCTTATGAAAACGCGCTGAGGGTGTTCAACATCGTGTTTACCTCCCTGTTCTCTCTGGAATGTCTGCTGAAAGTCATGGCTTTTGGGATTCTGGTAAGTACGGCCTTGGGGCTGCAGCTGGGGGAATCTGGGGGGTACTGGGTGCTGGGAGATGACTTCCCCACGTGGCCCCAAGACCCCCACCTCCATGCGGCTGGAGGCTCCCGCCCATGGCCACAGACCCCTGCATGGGGTTCTGTGCTCGCCGAGCCATACAGGGAGACCCAGCACATGAGCATCCTTCTGTTCGTATGCTTGTTGACTCAATTACTCCTCAGAACGGGCCCCGGGGTGGGAGTCGTTTGTTTCCATTTTAGAAAAAGGAAACACGTCAGAGAGGCTAAGTCGGTGGTGTCCACATCACTTTAACCACAATTCACAGTAAGAAGTACAGTGTACAGTGGACCTCAGCATGCAGGCTTGCCTGTAGATGGCCATCATGGGGTGTTGACAAAATCAGAATCTGTCCTCGTTGCCAACCGTGCGCTCAGAATTTACCTGCTTGTGGCTGTAGTCCCAGCACTTTGGGAAGCCAAGATAGCAGAGTCACTTGAGACCAGGGGTTTGAGACCAGCCGGGGCAACATAGCAAGACTCTGTCTTGTTTTTGTTTTAGTTATTTTATTTTGAAGATGTAGGATTAGGTGATCCTGTCTTTACAAAAACAAAATAATTTAATTAGCTAGGTGTGGTGGCACACACTTATAGTCCCAACTATTCAGGAGGCTGAGGGAGGAGGATTGCTTGAGCTCAGGAATTCAAGGCTGCAGTGAGCTATGATTGTACCACCGCACTCCAGCCTGAGTGACAGTGCAAGACCCTACCTCTTAAAAAAACAAAAAAAAAAAGCCAGATGCAGTGGCTCACACCTGTAATCTCAGCACTTTGGAAGGCTTAGGGAGGCAGATTGCTTGGGGACAGGAGTTCGAGACCAGCCCGGGCAATATAGCGAGACCTCATCTCTACAAAAATTCAAAAATTAACTGGGCGTGGTGGCGCATACCTGTAGTCTCAGCTGCTTGGGAGGCTGGGGTAGGAGGATCGCTTAAGCTTGGAAGGTGGAGGCTGCAGTGAGCCAAGATCATGCCACCATACTTCAGCCTGGGCCACAGAGTAAGACCCTGTCTCAATAAAAAATAAGTAAAAAGCACCTGGGGAGATTCCTTAAAATAGAATGATGCCCCAGACCACCCCCCACCCCTGGAAATTCTGATCCACTGACTGAGCGAATCTATATTTTTTTATGCCTGTCCCTGGGGGACTCCAGGGTACTGCCAGGCAGGATGCTGCACTGAGCACCTGCTGCCAGTGGGCGGAGGCACTCTGCAGTCGGGTATGAGTACTGGTCCCAGGGCTGCCACCTGTGGGCTGTGCAACCCAGGACCGGTCACAGAACGCAGAGGGGTCCGATTGGGCTTGGCTGAACTCACAACCGTGTGCGAATCCTGCCCAGCCTCGAGAGTTCCTCAGCCTCTCTGCTGCCATTTCCATGTCTACAAAGGGAGGACCCCACATACCTGCCTGTGGGAAGCTGTATCCTGCAGTTATTTTATTCCGGGCCAGCCTTCCACCGTGAAGTGATCTTTCTCCAGCTCCCTCCCCTTGCCAATCCCACAGGGTCCTGCACTGAGATGCCCTTCTCGGTTTGGGGGAGTTTTTTTTTTATTATTTTTGGTTTTTGAGTTGGAGTCATTCTGTCACCCAGGCTGGAGTGCAGTGGCATGCTCACAGCCACTGCAGCCTTAGCCAGAACCATAGGTGCACACTACCACACCCGGCTATTTTTTTTATTTATTGTAGAGACGAGGTCTTGCCAAGTTGCCCGGGCTGGTCTCGAACCCCTGGGCTCAAGCGGTCTTCTCACCTCTGCTTCCCAAAGTGCTGGGATTACAGGCATGAGCCACTGCACCCAGCCCCTTCTTAGTTTTTTGGATTGATTTTTCCCCCTTTTTTCTTTTCCTTTCTTTCCTTTTTTTTTTTCTTTTTCTTTTTCTTTTTTTTTTTTTAAGACGTGGTCTGGCAATATTGCCCAGGCTGGTCTCAAACTCCTGGCCTCAAGCAATCCTCCTGCCTCAGCCTCCTGAGTAGCTGGGATTACAGGTGCTCAGCACTTTTTTTTTGTTTTGTTTTTTATTTTAAAGATGTGGGGTACAATTCAGGATTGGGTATACAAGCGGTCTCTTTTCTGTTTTAAAGGAAGCTCCAGGTTCCCCATGTGACATTCAGGACACGGGGTGGGGGCCTCTATCCCAGTGCTTGAAGTCTGCGGCCAAACACCTAGAGGGCTGTCTTTATCTGGGCTCCCCCAAAAGCAGAGCCTGAGACAAGGGTTGAGTGCAAGAAGATGACCCGGGAGTAGGGCAGTAGGGGAGGGAGCTGTGAACTCCCATACAAATATGCAGCTGGAAAGAGCCCCCCCCAGGTGAAGTCACACCCCCCCCAGGTGAAGGAGTGCAGTTGAGGTATGAGGGACTACGGGCAGGACCCCAGCCCCATCTGCTAAAATACCACAAGTTCGTGCCAGCACAATTTGAATTCCTTGCAGGCGACTGTAAAACAACATCATTCTTCTATTGAGCACCTGCTGTATACAAAAGCCCATGCTCCTTGACTCACATTCATGGCCTGGTTGCTGTGATCCCCCTGCCCTCTAGAGGAGGGCACCGAGGCCTGGGCACTCCAATTTGAGGGAAGACCAGCTGTAAATTCCGGGGCCTTCTCTGTAAGGTGGGGGGCTGCCTTGGGTTCTGATGTTGAGACCACGCCAAGCCCTGACCGGACTTCTGCTTTTGTGAGGATGCCAAGAAGGCCCCGTGAGTCCTGAGGGGAGGGCCAGCTGTTTGGCCCTGACTCTTAGATCGAGACTGGGGTGCCCCTGGGTGCGGGCAGGGCCCCTCTGAAAGTGACACATATCAGCATTTCAGCACCTGGTAGCACGAAGCGGGGACCCCAGGGGACTCGGGTCTGTTTACCAAACAGAGTGTAGTATTTCAGTGTTAAACCAATAACACAGCTATGGCTGTGTGTCCTCTGGAGCCAGCACCAGCCCAGGGATGTAGCAGTCAGGACAGCTCAAGAGAAGGTGCAGTAACAAGCAGCTCCCACTTCTCGGTGACCAACATCAAGGAAGGTGTTTTTACATTCAGCAAGCAAGATTGTTGGCCTCACAGATACTCAGGGACCCAGGCTCACAGAGTAACCGCGTTCCACAGTGTTTCTGTTCACCACACCCAGATTGAGAGAGTTCTGGAGAGTTCCACACTGAGCAGGGAGTGACACACAATCTCTCCTCACAGCACATGGTCCCATGTAACCACAGGCGACCCAGGAAGTGCATGTGTCTGGGAGGCCTCGAGGCCCCTGCTCCAAAGGGGTGGTGCCCTTTTACTGTCGTCCAGATCAGGCAGTGAAGGCACAGAGAGGTTAAGTCACTTGCCCACGGCCACACAGCCATGGTTGTACAGCTGGGATTTGAACCTAGAGTCTCCTCTCTCAGTGAGCGTGCTGTCAGCTCAAAGCTTGGTTCAAATCCTGGCTTTTCACCTCTGGGCTGCTGGTGTCAAACAGGTGAGTGGCTTCACTCTCTGAGCCTCAGTCGCCTCTTGGAAAATGGGTGACAGTCCTTCCCTCTTGGATTTGTGTGACAATCCCAGTGACATCTGTAAAGTCTCTGGGGTCTTGGGGAGCCCTTGGAAATGTAGGAGAGAGACCACAGCCCAGAGGGCAGCCCCCCACCCCAGTGAAGTGAGGGCCTGGAGACCCCCCCAGGTTGGGAGGGGTCCCAGGGACAGGAGCTCAGAGCAGATGACACGGGGTGGCCTGTACTTCCCCCTCTGAACGGTGCAGTGCCCCAAGCATGTCCTTGATGTGCCCACGGGCCGCCCCCCACCCCAAGCCCTCTGTTGGCATCTCTGTCTTGTGGGTCCCCGTTCTAGAACTATTTCCGCGATGCCTGGAACATCTTCGACTTTGTGACCGTTCTGGGCAGCATCACTGACATCCTGGTGACTGAGTTTGGGGTAAGTCTCCCACCAGCTTCTCTCTGGGTAGCTCTGGGCTGGACAAGGGGGCTGGGGGAGCCAGCTGGCTTGGGCCAGCACTTGGCCATGACCAAAGAGGGGGAGCCGGGGCCTCTGAGGGGACACAGGGAGCTGGGGTGTCCAAGCCCAGGTAAGGCCCACGCCACAGGGTGGGCCTCCCTGCCCTTGGCTGTTGACTTAAGAATCCATAATGTGGATGAGTTTGTGGTGTTTGTGGAGACACCCAAGGGCTCCCAAAGCTAGGTTCCCCCCCACCGCAAATCCCACACCATATTGGGGCCCAAAGAATCAGTGTTGAGTCAATTCTGCTTGAACTGGCTGGGTGCAGTGGCTCACACCTGTAATCCTAGCACTTTGGGAGTGCTAGGTGAAAGGATCACTTGAGGCCAGGAGTTCAAGACCAACTTGGGTGACCTAGTAAGAACTCGTCTCTATAATAAATAAACAATAAAAAAATTAGCCAGACGTGGTGGCGCACACCTGGAGTCCCAGCTACTTGGAAGGCTGAGGCAGGAGGATCTCCTGAGCCCAGGAAGTCAAGGCTGCGGTGAGCCATGATTGTGTCACTGCACTCCAACCTGGGCAACAGAGTGAGACCCCCAACTCAAAAAAATTCTACTTAATGTAATCCTGTCCTGGCTCATGAGCGGGAGGGGGACACCACTCTCAGAGTCACTCCCCGTCCAGCTCCAGGCCTGGGAGATGCCCAGCATGGGGATCTGCGGACCTCTCTGCAGCGACCCCACAGGTCACACACCCTTCCTCTTTTACTGGGAGACTCAGGGCCCCAGAATTCCCACACCCTCTCCTTGGCCATCTGCTAATGAGCCCAAGCTTGGGGGCCTACGGGGGATGGGGGGATGGGAGACCCTCACACAGGACCAGAAGGCCACGGGGCATCAGAGCCCGTGGTGCCTAATAACAGTAAAAATAATAATAGCTCACAAGGGCCACACCCTTGCTACCTGCCAGGAACTGTGCCAAGCAGTTTACGAGGATCAGCTCATGGAGCAGGTCTCGGGCTCATGAGAATCCCCCCAGGGGGTTCAGCTAAAGGGACCCAGATGCAGAGACCACCCATGGGGGGCTAGGCCCAGTGGCTCATGCTCAGAATCCCAGCACTTTGGGAGGCCAAGGTGGCAGGATCATTGGAGGCTGGGTGTTCACAAGCAGCCTGGGCACCATAACGAGACCTCGTCTGTATTATAAAAATAAAGAGACCACTCATGGGGGAAGGGGGACCCACCAGGATTCCCAGCACCAGCCACTGTGGGGAGCTGTTACCTACCCAGGGTCCGCAGATAGCCCACCGGGTGGGAGGTGTCGCGTGCTCGTGGAGGGACAAAAACCAGGGCCAAAGCCGATA